ACCGTATTTACCCCAAAATCATTTCATGAAAACTTATTTCCCAACATTCCTTTCCCAATGCAAAGTTTTCAAATCAAATTTCAAAGCTCATCATTATCAAATGAATTGATATGCCAATACAATGATTAATAATACAATGCAATATTTCTTCCACATTCAATACTTCCAGAGAATATTTCCATTGTAATCAAAATTCTCATTTCTCATATCAATATAATTTCTCAAGATGAATATAAATACTTTTATTCCAATTCATCCATAGGACAACATAATTCCACACTTAGAGTGATCTCAACCATTAGTCACTTCAAGACTTTATCAACATTTTGAACAACAATTTTCAAAACTTCAACAATTCTCATATTCCATGAAAACCATCATTTATATGTAAACAATTAAACAATTTTTCAAACATTATTTATTTTGGCACACAAAATAAATATAACAACATCTTCAAAGATTGTCAACATTTTTCTTAAAAACCCCCAATTTCTAGGTTTTCTCACCAAAACCACTCATCTTTATTTATTAAAAGAAAGTCACCAAAAACATCTCTCTTCAATCCTCATAGTTCAAAACCCTCAATTTCTATTTTAAAAGGAACAAGAAAGTAAACCCACTTTAAAAAAAAAAATCTCTCATCTTCTTGAACCAACAATCAATTTTTAAAACAAATCAAAGGATGATTTCAAAAATCATCTAGATCTTGCAAAAACATATATATAACTCAAAGGAAATCCCTACTTATTAAATATTACCATTTCCATCCTACTATGTCAAAAGTTATGGTATAATCTTAATAACACACTTTTAACCATAACGGATATAACCTTTTAACCAAAACTAATTTAATCCACTACTAAATTAGTAAGTTTATTATATTTAAAAAATTCCAAATTAATAATACCAAACCTAACTTCACATGCCTCATCCCTCAAACATAAATATATTTCAATATAACCATTTTTTATGCCAAGCTATTTAAAGAGGTAATGTCTTTACTAAATTCTCTACCAATAACAATTTCAACCCTTTTTCTAAAATTAACTTAACCAACATGATATTTACATCAAAAATTATGAAATATGCCTAATAGTAACATTTTCAAGGTTATGAGTTTGAAAGTCCATATTTCACATTTTTATTTTCATAAAAATGAACACAATTTAATCATCAACATATCATCTTTTATAAAATATTATGAATATAACACTTTTAGAATTTTTAATCCCAGAGCAACTCTCACTACAAGAAAAGTAAGATTTAACAACGTTGATTTGACGGCGTTTAAAAAAACGCCTCTGTTTCTAATATTTTACGGTGTTTTCTTAAACGTCGCATTCTTATTGACCAATACGACACCGTTTTAACTGCCGAAAACGCCTTCAAATGTTTTTCTCTTTTTTTTTTTTTAATGTAAACTTAAATAGCCTATTCTCTCTTTCTCTCTCTTTCTCTCGCTCTCACTATACCCTTGATTTCACTCTCTCTTGCTTTACCCCCTTTCGTTTCTCTCGATTCAAACCCCTTCATTTATTAATCGATTAATCTGCAACCCTTCTCTTCAAGTATTCGATTCACCCCTTCGTTTATTCGATTCAAGTATTCATAGATCGTCGATTCGCAGATCATGATGTGCCATCTCAAGTTCGTGTTCGAGTTCGCAGGTCTTTCTTCATGGTAAGTGTTGATCAGTCTCATCTGTATCTTCTCACATTCAAGTTCGAATGAAGATGATACTTACTGATGGAATCATTCGATTCAGGTATGCTAGGTTTTATCTACTTTATCATTCTTAGATCAGACTGATTGAAGATCTGTTGATCGATTGAAGGTGATTTCGAAGTTCAACCTTCTTCAGCTCAGTGATTCAATCTCAGATTCATTCGGCAATTTCGAAGTTCTCTCTCGATTTCAAAGCTCGGTGATTCAATCTCAGATTCATCCGGCGAGGAGAGTGAGCACCATCATCTACTAAGGTGAGCACCATCGCTTTAGAAAATCTCAAGCTCTATATATATATCCCAAGTTCTTCCTTCTCGTTGATTCTTCTCCTAGGGTTTTCAATCAATGTTTTGAAGAATTTTAATCTCTGTTTTTTATTGATCAGTTTGGATTGATCAATCAGTGTTTTACACATCTCATTTATTTTTCCCCAGATCACCAGAACTGATTTTTCAACCAGTGTTCTTTATTTTTCACTCTCTATTTTTTTATTACCCTATTTTAAACCCTAAATTAGCATCAACAATATTAGCCTATTTTTTCCCTATGCTGATCTGATTTTTGGTCCCAATTCTGATGTATGCACATATTATAATTTTCTTAATGGCATTGTTGTTAGGGTTGCAAAGTTTAATGGCTCTAGCTGATTTTTAGGAGTTAAGTTTGTGAATATGTACATTTTGAGTTTTTGATCACATTAGTACTGTTTCAATAGCAAGGAACTTATCATTCTTACTTCTTGGAATTATTGTTAGATGAATTTGATTCTTGGTGGTGGTGGTGGTGGTGGTTGAATTATTGAATCTTTCTAATATGCTATTATTGTTCTGTTCACCATTACATTTGGCTTTTGGAAATCATCTCATTGAAAGAAAATCAGGGAAGTCAACTATCTGTCGTAGCATTTGAGTTCACTGTTTGATGCATTGTCTAATCTGATGACTTACAGGTTGACTGATCCACAGCTGGAATTGTGACACCAACAAATAATTAATACTGCGATAAATATTAGTTTGGAAATATGTAAAACTTAATTGTTGCTATTTTAATTCAGTAGATTGTGAGTTGATGGAATTTCTAGGTTGATTATTGATCTTTGAGCTAGTAATTTCAACTGCTAGAGAACCGGGGAATTTGATGGGATAACTAATTTGCGATACGGTTAAGTATTTAAAATGATTGAAGATAACAGTATTACTAACTATGAAGCACGGACACCTCTCCGAGGGCTCCGTACCAGTGTCGGACACATGTCGGACACGGACACGCGTCGGACACGGACACACGTCGGACACGCGGTTGACACGTGTCCGACACACACTAGAGAGTGTCCAATTTTTTTTTTATTTTTTTTGAAGCCGAACACGTCCAGGACACGTTGTGGACACTTTCGGGACATGCACGGGGTCAATTTCAGAATTTACAAAACATTTTTAGGATCAATTTCAGAATTTACAAAATATTTTTGGGGTCAATCTGTAAAAAAACAAAAATAACTTATATTTGCCCTAAATCGATCAAAGCCCTAAGTCGATCAAAGATAGCAGAGAACAAAAAGAGAAAGAGAGAAGGCAAAGATAACAGAGGAGAAAGAGAACCTGGTCGCTCGTCCGTTGCTCGTCATCGCTCGTCGCTGCTCGTAGCTCATCATTCGTCGTCGCTCCTCGGCCGTCGCTCGTCGCTCGTAAGGTACACCTTCTTCTTCCTTCCTCGGCTTCGGTCTTCTTCCTTCTTCTTCTGGTCTTTGTTCGTTCATCAGTCGATGTTTCTCTCTCTCTCTCTCTCTCTCTCTCTCTCTCTCTCTCAACGTCTTCTCTCTCTCTCTGTCTGAGTATACTTTTATTTTTTATTTCTTTTTTCATTTTATATTTTTTCCCCTCTGCATGGTGTGCCTTATTTCAGAATATATATATATATATATATATTTATTAATTAGTTTTGTTAATGTCTTATATTTTCAGAATATATATATATATATTAATTAGTTTTGTTAATTTTAATAATTTTATGACATATAATAAATAAAATTATATGTTTTGTTAATTTTTTATTTTATTAGTTTTGATAATTTTAATAAAATTATATTTTATTAGTTTTGTTAATTTTAATAATTTTTTCCACCTTTATTTTTTAATAATTTTATGACATATAATAAATAAAATTAATTATATATATTGAACGTGTCCCCAGCGTGTCGTGTCCCCCATTTTTTGAAAATTTACGTGTCGGCGTATCCGTGTCGTGTCGCGTGTCCGTGTCCGTGCTTCATTGATTACTAACCTCGGTTGGTTAAAAATGTTTTAGCATATAGTATTACTAACCTCTACACCAAGGTCACATAGACCAACTACAGTCATTGCCATGATATTACACAAGGTTTTGAATGAGGTAATCTCTAAACATCTAATCACATTTTAGCTAACATCTAGTGTTCTTTGCGTCTTTGTATGAAAAAAAGAAAAAGAAAGTGAAGTATAGGTTCCTTGTTCGTGGAACTATCGTTGATTGCATTGGTTATTATTGATATTGGAAATTTCCTAGGTCCTTATGCAACACTCATCTGGTAGTGATTGACCGAATGAAACGTACATCGATTACATTTTTTTTCCCCTTCTTTTTTGCCCATAGTGGTCCTCATTTTGATTGGGTGTGTAAAACATTTAATTGAATGTGAATATTGGTGGTTGCTTGTGTTAATTAGTTATGCTCTTATAGTGAAGTGAAAATTTAAAATAAACCCTTAGAGCATCTATGTATAATCATTCTAGTATTTGGAAGGAGAGGCATAATTTATATTTTCATTGTTCTGAAATCTGAATTTGGGTTTAAAGATCTGCGAAAAGTATTGGGGCTGAACGTGCTGGTTTGTTTCCCTTTGAAAAAATGTTCTTATAAACAATAATTTATTTGTATTTCTTTCAAAGTTTATTCAATCTCTCTTTTCTGTTTTATAAGTTAGACTTGGTCTAGCTTAATTGTGGTCTTTTTCCCTTTCCATTTCAGTAAATGTGTATGTTCCCAAAGATAGAGTCACCAATCTTTATCAAGGATATGGCTTTGTGGAATTCCGAAGTGAGGACAATGCAGATTATGTAAGCTATGCTTCATTGCTCGTGTCATTGGTTATGCTTTTTGTACTTTCTTTATTGTTCATCAGTTATGCTCTTTGTATTTATTTTACTGTTCTCTTGAGTTTTGCTTTCCCGACTTGCTGGTGGCTGTATGATCAGTTCTTTTTTTAAATTTTATTTATCTATTATTTTTTTAAATCCACAATGCAGGCAATAAAAGTTATGAATATGATTAAACTTTATGGGAAGCCAATAAGAGTGAGTAAGGTGTGAATGTTTATCCTTGTCATGCATCATTTTCTGTTTCTTTATGCTTATGCTTAGGATATTGCCACAGGAGCCATCATTAATGATTTCATGGTTTGACTTTCAGAGCCTTTGTTTGAATTAGATTTAAAATCTGATCAATAGTTTTATCTTGTTGTTTTTGGGTTCTAGGCGTCTCAAGATAAAAAGAGCTTGGATGTTGGAGCTAACCTTTTTGTGGGAAACCTTGATCCTGTAAGAAATTTGATGCACTCGAATGTATTTTCATGCCTTGTAAACTTCTATATGCCTATGACATAGTTTTTCAATTTCAAACCTGGCTCTGATTTTCTTTGCAGGATGTGGATGAGAAACTTTTCTATGATACTTTCAGTGCATTTGGAGTCATTGTTACAAATCCCAAGGTCAAACTTCTTTTCTCTTGCTCCCGTATAGTTGTGTTGTTTGTTTCTTATTGATATATATAATAGAACTGAGGACATGCACTGCTCTTCCATCCTTAAAATCTTGTCACTATGTTTTCATTCGTGCATATTATTATTTTTAGTCCTTTGGTTATGAAACTCAGTTTACATTATAGAGATTGTTCTTTGTTTGCCCGTGTGTGCTTTCTTGCCATAGGTTCTTTGACTAGGGCATGAACAAATTGACAATGTTTTAATTTTTTTGGTATGGACTGACACAACTCATCCTCAGCTCCCTATGTAGGCTCTGGTACACCCTCCTCGATGTATATGGGTGTGCCACCTTATGGATCTTCTCTCTTCAATGGATCATCTACGTCTCCTTATGATGTTCCATTTTCTGGGGGTTCTGCCTATCCTTATAACTATGGCAACCGCCTTTTTGGAGGCAGCCTGTATAGACTCCTGCATATAGCTGGTCCAACACCTTATTCTAGTGGATCTATGATGGGAAATGGTACGTGTTTCTCTCGTGCTTCTTATTGGTTGCATGATTTTTTTTTTAAAAAAAAAAAATTCTATAAAGCCTGTTTTCGTTGTATCAGTTTCTAATTACCTTTTTTATTCCCCTTACCTGGTTAACTATTCTGTCATTATGCATCCCTTTATCTACTCTACTTTTTTCCTTAGAGGTAACTTTTGTGAATCTTTATCTACTCTACTCTAATTAACTTATTCACAAGGAAGCATAGTGCTACAGAATAACGTACATGATGCCCGCATAATCATGTTTAAGTTGACAAATATTTTCAAAACCATACTCTTTCTCTATGTGATGGTTTGGGAAAATTTTCTCTGAACTCCTCCCCATCTCTACCTAGGTTCCCATTATTTGTTTTGGTACATGAATTATTGAAAGCGCTCTCACCTCTCAGTATATTTTCTTGTATTACATGTTTGGTGGAACGAGCTCATGACTGAATTTTTTTCTGCAGGGCCTAAGGCCTGGATTTTTTCTAGATGATAAATATCAAAAGAAAGGTGCAGATTTTGCCATATCTAGGCTGTTTTTGAACTTCTGACCAATGATTTGACTTGATGCTATCTGTTTATGTACTAACTTGTATCTCTGTGTCTTCGAACACACCTGTAGATGGAACGCGTGATAACGACTAGACATGTCCTAAATGTGGAAATGTCAACTTCTCTTTTAGAACAGTTTGCAATATGAGAAAGCGCAATACTCCAAAGCCCGGACCTTAGGTTTGAGCTACTTTCATTTCTAGATTTTACTCAACATTTAAAATGTCTGGTATTATAGCTTGCTCTTTGTCATTTTGGATGCTGAATTTGGAAATTTCTTCATTACGTTGTGTCATCATCCTGTTAGTTTAGAAAAAATTTCCTTTGATGTTTGTTTAAAGTTTCATTGAGAAATGCAATAACATAAACTACCCTTTTAGGACCAAATGTAATAGACAAAGCTGTGGGGCCGATAAACCATCTGAGGGATAGAAATCCCCTTCAAAACCAGCAGATAAAAACGATCAGGTCTGTCAGCAGATACATTTACTTACTATGTCCATTTGTTGCTTGAAATTTCCATTAAGATTGTTAACCATCTATGTGTATAGCACAAACAAAAAAAGTACTAAAGTTCACGATTTATCTTTAGTTAATGATCTTTTGGCGGAACTATTATTTTTCCCTCTTACTCGTCTTGGTTAGATCTTGTAGTGGTTGAATCTGTGATTTTCCTATTTTGATATTTGTTGCTTCTACCTCCTCGAGCATTTATTAATTTTGCAGTTTGGCTGGATAATTTGATTGTGATTCATCTCTAATATTTTCTACATTTCGGTAGTGTGAAATGTGTTGTCTTTTTTCTTTTTCTTTTTTTCTTGGCAGGAATCAACTTATATGAACTCAGGAAAAATTGGGAAACTTTTCTCCAAAGTTGAAGAAGTTCAAAATTGATGCTTCGAAGTGTTGTGTATCAATCATATTTGTACTTTTTTTTGGGGGGGGGGTTACATTTATTCTTTTCTTAGTATTTTAAATTTTGAGATGATGATGGAGTATATGAATTTGGTTGTGATTTTTGTAATTTCAATTTTGACGCTTCAATTTTGATGTGTTTGGTTGAATATATATATTTTTTGAAACAGGGTTTGAATATATTTTGGAGAATTCTAACTAGTAGTAAATAAAATATTATTGCTGAATGATTTCATTAGGTTGCACTCCTGCAAAAAAAAGAAAAAAATGCTTTTAGCGGCGTTTTTGTAAAAAACGCCTCTATAGGGTCTGTATGACGTCATCTCGCCGGAAGGAATCACCGTTGGTGACTGTAGCGTGACGTTTCTAAAACGTCGCAATAAGGTCTACAACGGCGTTTTTTAAACGTCGCAAACATATAACGACGGCCGTATCTTCGACGTTCAATAAAAACGTCACCAAAAGTTTTAGCGGCGTTTTTCAGCTATTTCACGGCGTTTTACAAACGCCATTAAAAACTGTATTTCCTGTAGTGTCTATAATTCCTACTTAAGCATTTACTTCATATTCCTCAACATCAATTTATTTTTCTTCTCAAAAATAAATTCCAAAACTCAAAGATGAGATAAATATTTCAACATTATTTTCCCAAAATAAATTATCTAACGATGATACTCATACAACTATTAATTTTATTTTATTTTTGGATTTTTAACAAGTACTTCCAACACAAGATGATTTTTCCAAATCAATTTCGAAATAACAATATTCTTAACACTTCAACCTAATTTTTCTTTCAAAAATTACCAAACAAAAATCTGAAAAAATATATATATGCAATACCTCTTATAATGACATATTTTCTCAAAACAACCCTAACATAGCTTTAATGTCAAAATATAAAGAAAGTCCCTACCTCAAATATGAAGAAAAGTTAATCCGAAAATGCAAACATCACCCGATCATGGATCCAAGATCACCATTGCGAAGATCACGGCAAGCTCTTCGACTTTCATGTACAACACTTTGGCAAAATCTCACTCTAAAGACTCTCATTTCAAGCTCAAAGATTGGGCATCAATGGAGGAATAAAGAGGGAGAGAGAGAAAGAGAGAGATGTTGAGAGCAAGAGAGAGTTGAGCTCTCTGCTCAAATGAAGAAGGAAAAATGGAAAGGAGGGGAAATGATGGTAAGGACAAAAATGGGGGCCACCCACATGGGTTTGTTCTCCAAAGTTTGATTTTTTCCACAATTTTATAATATAAATTATAAAATAATATAATTTTCTCACCACAAAATATAATATTTTTGTACACCCCAAAATATAATATTTTGATCACTACGAAGCATACACATTTTCATTCTTTATAAAATATTTAATCTTTCGCCATATGGTACATACCATAAAATCAACTATCAAATATTTATTATAATCCTATATAATAAATAATAACAACTCCTAAAGTGGTTACTACCAATCACCTAGTTAAAAAGGACCAAACAGTTAAACATAAGTCATTAAACAAACTCAAATTAAATTAAATCTAAATCATGGGTCTCACCCATAAGTCAAACATGGTCCAATTATATACCAAAATAATCCGAACAAATTTATCTCAAATCCTGGTCCGAACACTCAAAACTCAATTTCAAATTCTGCTATAAATTAAACTGAACACCAATCAGTCCGTGAATTTTCATAAAATAAATACTCATCATTTAATTCCAAAATTTTTATCCAACGTGCTAGACTCATATGGGAACAACATATAAAAATTTCATAATTTTCTGAGATCGGGAACTATTTTAAAAAAATACAAAACCGAACTATTTTCACACAGAATTTACACAGCAATCAAATTCGAAAATTTGCTCAATTAAATTATTCACTGGCTATTTAAAAAAAAAAATTTCTGGGTCATTACAGCTGAAATCCACCAGAATTAATTTGTAGCTCTGTTTTGTTGCTTCAATTCTGTTTTTGTGTTCTTCGAACTATGACGCAATCTCCAACCAGGCTTTCTTATTTTGATCACTTTATTTAGTAATAAATTGGATTTTGCTGATAAAAAATAAAAATCGCATTGTGTTTGGTTAACAGGCTCACATTAGACAACTTGATAACTTCCTAAGAATAGTGATTGATCATTAGACAGCTTGAGGACTTCCAAACATTTGTGGTAAAAATTTGATTTGTACTCTTACTAAAACAGTGGTTGATCATTGTTATTTAATGATTTTTTCTTTGGTTGGTTGTCTAACTTGACTATACAAATCTAGGAAATTATCATCCACCATGCTTGCTATAGGTATGATTTGTAGGTATATGATTGAACACAATAAAAATACATTTTTTTTTTTTTGGGTGTCATGTGTCATGTGTCATGTGTTAATGATGAAATAAAAAAATCATACATACAAATTAATTTGATGAATGAATGTGTTAATAGTTAAGATTTGTATAGTCAAGTTAGACAACTATGGCTTTAAATTTTTATTTTGTTAACGGTTACGATTTGAATCCTTTTTAGTCAATTGATTTTTAAATTCATGACTTAATTGGTTAGAATTTGTAGTATCATACTGTTCGAGCTTTAATTAATCTCATTAGCAAAGGTCTTTTTATTTTCTTAGAATTCTCTAGTTGGTTGTTGTGAATTTCATCATTCTAGGTTAGTTTAATTGAGTCATTAGAACCTTCCAATTTTTAAGCAATTTGTTTAGCTTTATATATTCCAAACCTTCTTTCTTTTATGCAATTTGTTTAGCTTTATTTTCTTAGCAGTTTATTTCATATTAAGTCTTTTTTATTCCAATTTTCGTCTAGACACTTTTATTAAATGATTTGGTAATTGTAGGAGAAATTCGGCATCATTAGCTTTACAAAGACTTTTAATGGCTCTGGCATTAAGATAAGCTTAGGCATCATTAGCTTTACAAATCAATATGAGTTTCTTCAATTTGATTTTATTTTGGTCTCATGTTTATTTTTATTTTTTTTACCCTTTTTTTATTTAACTGTTGTATGTTGATGGGTTTTGTGTGATTTTATTTAACTTTTTTTAGGTTGCTGTGGCATAATCAGTGGATTGGCCCTTCTTCTCTCTTAGCTTATTCTAGCTTATTCTATCACATGTAATCAATTTACATCTTAGGGTTTTCATCCCCAAACCTAATTTTTGAACTTTTTTTTTATTTATTTATAACAAAGTGACAATGGCATGGGATCCTTCTATTGTTGAATCTTTTTGGGTTATTCACGAATTTGGAAATTGCTTATTTATTTGTTTGTTTGCTAAACAATAGAATCATATGCTTCAATATTAGTTGTCAAACGTAATAATTGTTCTTTTGTTTAATTTGTTCTCAAATGTAGTTCAATTAAGACTAATTGTTTATGTTGGTTGTTAATTTTGATTTTTTTTTTTTGGGTTTTTATTAGTTGGTGCACTCTTTTTTTAATTACATTAGATGGTGTGCTTTGCTTTGCTTTTGTTGAATATTTATTTTTATGCTATTGGTATGCAACTATGTGACTGTGTGGTGGGGGAGGGAAAAAACAGAGAGTTGTGTGTGACTGTGTGACGGGGGAGGGGAATACAGTGAGGGTGTTGGTTGTTCATTTGTGTTTGACTTTCACTGGCATAAGGCACCTAGAAACCTCATCTTCATGTAATTTTGTTTTTGCAAAATGCATCTTCTCTGTTTGCTACTATGTGCACACCAATTGAAGCAATTATTATGTTTCTCCTTTTTTAGGCCTCGATTACTATTTTATTTGATCGTTTGTTCATATTTTACTCTCTTTATATGTTGTCTACTCTATGTTTAAGCAACATTATGTTTTTGCCTTATATGGACTTTGACGACAACAACGGAGCAACCTAAGGTTGTGGGTATTCATTCGTCTTTGTCTTGCTGGCCTTGTTTGGCTATTCAGTGTTTTGTAAAAGGGGGAGGAGAGATACTATAAAAGATTGATACTCGGTCATCGTCAATATTGAAGGAGATCCCAAACAGGTATTTCAATTAGTTAGTTATGTTAATTAAATTATGATGGAGATGTTGAAACCATGGGAAAAGTTGCTGGAAAAGTTAATTAATTAGATTTGTGATGATTTGAACTATACTTTTGGTACCTATTAATAGTTGAAACTATTTGATGTTTTCTTAGACTGATTTTTTAGTTTTTTGTTTTTTGCAATTTCTTTTGGTAATCTCCATCACCTTCTTTCTTTAATAAGGCATTCACTAGCATAAGGCACCTAGAAACCTCATCTTCATGTAATTTAGTTTTTTCAAAATGCAGCTTCTCTGTTTGCTACTATGTGCACACCAATTGGAGCAATTATTATGTTTCTCCTTTTTTAGGCCTCGATTACTATTTTATTTGATCGATTGTTCATATTTTACTCTCTTTATATGCTGTCTACTCTATCTTTAAGCAACATTATGTTTTTTCTTTATATGGACTTTGACGACAACAACGGAGCAACCTAAGGTTGTGGGTATTCATTCGTCTTTGTCTTGCTGGCCCTGTTTGGCTATTCAGTGTTTTGTAAAAAGGGGAGGAGAGTTACTATAAAAGATCGATACTTGGTCACCGTCAATATTGAAGGAGATCCCAAACAGGTATTTTAATTAGTTAGTTATGTTAATTAAATTATGATGGAGATGTTGAAACCATGGGAAAAGTTGCTGGAAAAGTTAATTAATTAGATTTGTGATGATTTGAACTATACTTTTGGTACCTATTAATAGTTGAAACTATTTGATGTTTTCTTAGACTGATTTTTTAGTTTTTTGTTTTTTGCAATTTCTTTTGGTAATCTCCATCACCTTCTTTCTTTAATAAGGTGTTTGGCTTCCATTGGGAAACAAATTCCAAAAGCAATTAGGTGCATGATATTTTTTTTAGGTTTAATGTTGTTTCTTAGTTATTCAAAATCATAAATGATGAAAACAGATCCACTTATTTC